GCGTGACTTTTTTTGCACATGCTTGGGAACTGCGTTAAAAGAACCGTATTTAAGTAGGGTAGCCTTGGCGACTATATAATTCGAAACAAAATACAAGACATCCATCGACCAACGCTTGTTATCCCGACCATCCGACAAACCTTTGCGTTTTGTGACGTCACGCAGCACCTACGGATGTCAGCCATTGACACTGGCGAAATTCGGGGTGCAGTTTCGTACATAGGCTCATGAAAGGTTTAATTAATAACGGGAGATCATATATCAAAATAAAAATGATGTTAGTCTACATGAAGGCTCCCTCGACGTAACGAGCGCAAGAACTTAAGTACTTCCGGTTTCGACCGGACAATCCCTTTAACTCTCGCCGCGCGGCATGTTTGGCACTCGGCACACTAACATCGGAGGGTGTGCACACGCACGAGTCTATCGCAAAAAATATTAAAAAAAAAAGAAAAAGAAAAGAAAAAAAAAAAAAGACGCGGGATGAGATTTCCCAGACGACGAGGGCGCGAAACGCGAGACGACGGGAAAAATCATGCAAGACCGAATAGCAATTGATGTAGGGTACTTTGTGTCCGGCGGCGTCTTTTGTGCCACCAAGCTCACGCATGCTCACTTGCGGTTTTCAGTTTAGTTCCGTTTTTGAAAGGCGACCAAAATTGGTCCTTTGGCGCAGGCTTGGCGCAGATTAGCCATATTTTGGCGAAATGTAGCAGGATGTGGCAGGGTTAGCCCCTTGGCGCAGTTTGGCGCAATTGGCGCAGCAATCACATCACTGGGGCTATGTTGCCAGAGTGTATTGAAGCCCACTACCTTAAATTCAAAATGAATATTGATTCCAACGAAGTGAGAACAGAGACGCCGAATAGTGTAGGCCAGCAGCGCGTGCTGTACTCGAGCTACGTGAGTGGCTACACTCTTAAGTTTCTGGTTGCTATACCCCTAATGGGGCTATTTGTTTCCGTTCAATGGCGTACGGAGGCCGATGCTCCGACATCCATTTTACGGTGGACTCTAGGTTCTGAAACATTGTGCAGCCCGGGGACGTAATACTGGCTGACAAATGTTTTCCGGGTATCAGGGAAAGTCTGGCAGACACTGATGCGGTGCTCGTGATGCCGCCTTTTTTATCGGTGCATGGGCAGTTCAGTGAGCCAGAAGTGTGCGACACACTACTTTGCCCAGGTCCGAATTCACGTTGAGCGAATGATACAGCGAATTAATATACTCGGGACAACGGTGCCCATTACTCTGATCCCCCCGATGGATGACGCTTCAACATGTGCTGTACGCTGGCAAATTTGCAACCTGCCATTATCAAGCCAAAGGAATAAATGGCAGCAAATGTAGGTACAGTCAGACGCATGGCGAGGCTAGGTACAGAGCTCCAATTTCTCTCGTGGGGTTGGCTCTTCCTGGGTACCAGCGTAGGCTTCTTATCCGCAACCGAATTCTGCGCCAGAGATTGATTTAAGTGTTTCTGTATGATATGTGATGTCCTGCCGTAAAAGATGGCTAACACCTTTTTTACGAGATGCAAAGATGATTGATAGCAACGAGTGTATTTTCCATGCCCTTGTGGTTCTATTCTATAATGAAAGTGTCAAATCGGAGCACGTTTTATAAGTAGCATTGTTTATGCCAATGAGAATAAAACAACAGCAAATAAAAATAACACACTTTAGCAGAAAACTAAACATTCTGATTGCAAGATTATATTTTGTGTACTGGACTTTACATTTCAGCGTAGTTCTAAACCACCACTTCCTAAAAAGACCGGCAAGTATGCAAAAAAACACATGGAACGTTGTCGCGAGTCATATTGTCTGCAGTGAATTGAATGCAGTACTTTATTGTTCTGTCTTTTACATCACTTGTACTGACATGCTTAGAGCTGGTACTTTTGTGCAAGGACTAGCAGTACCAGCTGAAATAAAACCGTTCTAGAGAGGGAATCGCATTGCTCAAAAACTTGTCGTTCCTGGGAACGAACACAGTGGAATCGTGCTCACCGCATGTGTAGACATAAAAATAACATGATTGCAAGTCCAGCACAAACATCAACACATGCACTTGTGCATAGTACTTGTGCGGTGGCTTCAGGCACAACTCGTCATTAACGTAACTCCGGAGAGTTGTCCCAGCGCGCTAGCGCCACCCGCGGTGCGCAGGTGCGTCACGGCTGGATGTGTGCTTTATTGCCAAAAGCGTTGTAGGCGTTGGAACATATTTCATGTTTATTTATCAGTTCAAATATATCAGAATAAAAAATTATACCTGAAATACATATTTATGTTTACTGTAGTAACCAGGAAGGGCGAGTTACCGAGTTACTCCACTACTAGATTATAATGCGCGCCTCTTTCCCGAGATCCGAGTCACCCGGATTCCCATTTCCTCACTTTGTGTACATTCATGATTTTGTTTGTCATATTCGCTGTCCTGTTTCTATTGCCGCACCCGAGCTGATCATGTATATCGTCTGAGTCAAGTATGTCCTGGATGGCTTTAAGAAAACTGCTGAATTCTTCCATAAAGGACTTCCAACCCGAAAGTGTAAACGATTTCGATGCCGACCGAACTTACTACTGTTGGTGGCGTGGAGACGGCCGAACTCGTGCAGAAGTTTACGACGAGAAAATTATCACCACGACCGGTACTTTCAACTTCACTAATAAGCTATTTCACGAATGTATGGACTCTTGCAGTTTGCTTAAAATTTGTGTTCATTTCTGTGCCTCGGTCCACAAATACAAGCGAGCGATGTGGTACAGAAACGACCAAGCGTGAAGAGAAGCATCGCGCGGCCTTAGTATCCACACACACAAATCAATTTCTTTCTGGTGGGTAACACGCATAAAGCTGTTACTGCAACACTGCTGGCCACAATCAACAAAAACTATGAATTCCAACCACACAAGTTTGCCCGGCACTTGGTGCGCATTGTTTTCACCGTGGAGGAGAGGCGAACAAAGTCTCTACATGAAAAGGCTTGCACACTGCTCGAAAAGACATCCCCGCGAAGCAATTCATCGACAAGGAAAAGAATGCCATCATCAGTAAGTCCAGAAACTTGTGTAGTTTATTTTGTTTCGTTCTTATACTTTGCTGATACCTAAAGCTCTTATACTTACGCTTTGAGTGACCCACTCTTTGTTGGCCGGTCAAAATAAATAAATAAATACTGTTAACTTTTTCTGCCCCAAATGGTCTAAAATTTGTCATTTATTTCTAAAAACAGTTATCTCCTTACTATTTTCCTAGTTCTCTAATTATATATTTTTTAGTATAATGTAATCAATCATTTATTGATAATACCAGCTTTGCTGCATAAATATATTTTTAGTTACTTAGCCGCTGCTTTAATAAGTGTAATATATAGGTGTCATGTCACACTTAGAAAAAAGTTGTTGCAACCGGGCGATGAGGAAGAAGAGAAGCGGCGGGAGCTCATGCATTTTGTAATTTTTATCAGTCTGAAAAACGAACAGTAAAGGAAAAGGTCGCACCGACCGATTTGTCTAGCGTAATTGCCTTCGTATTCCTTGGTTCCTCAACATATGGTGCCGAAACCCGGGAGTGTCCCGCTTCACAAGGGCCCAAGCTACACGCCGCAGGGAATTTCAATCCTGCAGCTGCAACGGAATTCAGCAGTTCCTTGGCGGGAGCAGACCACTGGGAAAAGAACAGCGACGGAACCTTGGCAGGCGACCGTACGGCCTCGTAAATACGAATAGTCAATGGAGAGGCTGAAGGCTAGGCGGTCGGCTCGGCGGGCACAGAACACTAGGATAATGAACGACGCCAATCGGATTCTCCAGGATCCCAGCCCCGACCTAGCAAGAGTGCGTTCGATCAAGGACAGACTCACTACCAGCAGTGCAGAGCTCCGACTACTTGACGGTGAGATAGAGCCGCTAATTCCAATCCAAGAGCTGGAAAGTGAGTGCACCGCCACTGCAGAATACCAAGACGAAGCCGTCATGGTGATCAGCGAGTTCGAGACCAAGATTGAGTCCCTACAATCGCAGAGAATAATAGCTTCGGCGGCGAGCACCGGAAACCAAACCGGCATTCAAGACAACGCAGCGAGACGTGGACCAAAGCTTCCGAAGCTGGAGCTATCTACCTTCGATGGAGAGCAAAGCAACTGGCTCACATTCTGGGAGCAGTTTGGTGGAGCCATCCATACCAATGCAACTTTAACAACCACAGATAAGTTCCACTACCTTCGTCGGTGTCTAACGGGAGATGCTGCTGCGGCGATTGCCGGGCTACCAACAACAGAAATATGCTATGCCGAAGCGATCACCATCTTGCAACAGAGGTTTGGAGAGAAGAGGAGAATAGAGCGGCAGCATCTGAATGCCCTCAGAAATCTACCGCACGATGCTTCAGCTAATGACGTGAGAGGGTTGAGAAACCTGGATGACACCACACAACTCAACGTTCGGTGTCTAAACTCTTTGAATGTTCCCACGTCAAGTTTTTCAGCCGTGCTCTGTGACATTCTTGTCAGGGCGTTGCCTTACGAGGTTACAGTGGAGTATCACCGGCAAGTCAACAACACCGCTTTCACCAACGCAGCGGCTCAAGACCAAGGAGACGGATCGGCGGCTGGAACTTCAAGGTCAGCGGATACTACGTCGGAGTCAGTGACCGAATTGAATGGAATGCTTCGCTTCCTGCGTGTGGAAGTAGAAAGCCGAGAAAGAAGTAGCCTTGAGGATGCTCGAGGTAAACACGAGACAAAGGTAAAGTCGTTTGCATCAGCATCAGCTTTTCATAACGCAACAAATGCTACACATTCTCAGTGTTTTTTCTGCCATTCAAAGAAGCACACCACGCCATCTTTTGATTGCAGCAAACAGAGAGAGGAAAAATTAAGTATGTTATCAAAAGACTGCAGATGTTTCCGATGCACATTGAAAGGTCACCGAGCACGAGATTGCAGAAAAAACCTCAGTTGCGCAGTTTGCAGAGCCAGACATGCAACCACAATGTGCGATCCTGAGTTTGTTAGGCGGATGAAGGAACGTTCGCCCCAAGGTAACGATACGATTTGCGTGTCTGCATCCAGCGCGGGCGCGCGCTCAGAAAAGAAGTTTAGTGACGGCATATATCTCCAGACGTTCAAGGCATTTTTAGTGACCAACGCTGGCAGCTGCTATGTCAAGGGAATAATCGACGGTGGCAGTCAGCGCACATTTATAAAAGAAGAGGTAGCGCAACGCCTAGGGCTGAAAGTCCTGCGGAGAACAAAGATAGCACTCAACACTTTCGCCAGTAATGCTTCGAAGGTTATAGAGCGCAGTCCCGTTGTGGAGGTAAAGCTCAAAAGTCAATTTGACAATACAGAAATAACCTTTGAAGCAATTTCCATCCCGGTCATTTGCCAGGACGTATCTACGCCAACAACGGACATCCCGTTTGTGCGATTTCTGCGAGAAAGCAGTAAGAATTTGGCAGACGACGTAATTTTCCCAGGTGTAAAAACAGTTCCTGAAAAAAGTCTGTTGATTGGATCCGACCAGTTGTGGAAGTTCTGCACAGGAGACGTGATCAGGTGCGCAGATGTGGACGGATTGGTAGCGATCAACACAAAGATGGGCTGGACGCTGCAAGGTCCTTCAAGACAGGTGGGAAGGCTCCAATGGGATTCAAGTCTGATGATATGTGTCCTACAAGCGAAGACAAAGGAAACCCAAGTGGAAGAGGCGCTACAGCCCTTCTGGGAGTTAGACAGAATGGGAGTTGCCGACAGTGAGCTCGGAGACACTGATGCAGACACCATTACACACTTTGAGCAAAACATCATTAAGAAAAACGGACTATACGAAGTGGCTCTGCCGTGGAAAGAAGACACTTTTGATATGCTGGCAAACAACTTGAAGTTGCCATTTTACGTCTAGGGAGCTTGTTGAGAAGAATCTCACGAAAGGAGGGATTACTCAAGCGGTATGATCATGCAATGAGACAGTATTTGCGTGATGGGCATGCAGAAGTGATAAAGAGCAGAAAGGAAAGCGACAGCGCGCAGGTCATGTATTACATGCCGCATAAAGAAGTAATACGTGAAGATGCAACAACAACAAAGTTAAGGATCGTCTTCGACGCATCTTCTCATGGCAAAGGGTGCAGGTCGTTGAATGAGTGCCTAGTAACAGGACCCAACTTGAACCCCGAGCTTCTGCAGGTCCTGCTTCGGTTTAGATGGTACTCAGTTGCAATGACCACCGACATTAAGAAAGCGTTTTTACAAATTGCCATCCGTGAAGATGATCGTGATGCTTGTAGATTTCTTTGGTTTGCTGAGGAGCCAAGTTTCCCTTTCAACAAGGAAGAAATTCAAGAGTGGAGGATGACTCGGGTTCCTTTCGGATCCACGTCTAGTCCATTCATGCTCACAGCTACAATACAACATCACTTGAAGTTGGTCTGCGAAGACCCACAATTAGCAGAGAAACTCAGGACATCTTTCTACGTTGATGATCTACTGCTCGGAGCCGACGATATTGAGGATGCCGTGAGGCTCTACCACACTTCCAGGAACGTCATGAGACAGGCAGGAATGACACTCCGGAAATGGACTGCGAACAATGAGCAACTGCAGGAGCAGTTCAAAAAGGAGGAGCCAACATTTATGACCGAAGAAAAAAGCCTCTCACCTTCACCAACCTCCAAGGTACTTGGAATGATGTGGGATCACGAAGGGGACTGCTTTATTTACAAAGTTGAAGCTTTGCTTGAATTCCTCTCAGCAAATGTGGACACTAAACGGTTCATCCTCAAGGCAGCCTCAAGAGTATTCGATCCTCTTGGATTGATCGCGCCCTTCGTCCTAACAGCTAAGCTGCTATTTCAGAAGCTGTGGACATTGGGAATCAGCTGGGATGAAGAACTCCCCGCTGATTTTATCACTGAATGGCACGCTCGGACGGCGGACCTTGTTCAACTGCACTCGTTAAGTATACCAAGACATGTCAAGCGAGGCATCCAGGCAGGAGCCAACAAAGTACAGCTACACGTCTTCGTAGATGCAAGCACGAAAGCCTACGGATCTTGTGCGTACTTTAGAACAGCCGATGACCAAGGAGAAACAGCTACCATGTTAGTTGTTGGGAAGACAAGAGTGGCACCGATAAAACCTTTATCACTGCCTAGGTTGAAGCTGATGGGGCCGAATATTGGAGCCAGACTCCTACGATACATAAAACAGTCATATTATGACGTGGAACTTGATTACATTATGTGGACTGACTCAACGGTTGCCCTCAGTTGGGTGAGAGGAGTCCCTGAAAAATGGAAGCCATTTGTAAAAAACAGGGTGGCAGAGATACGCGTCATGACATCCCCGGACCACTGGAGGCACTGCCCCGGTCAAGAGAATCCGGCGGATCTCTTGACCAGAGGACTAGGCGTTCAGGAGCTTCGTGCTAACTCTCTTTGGTGGAAAGGGCCGAGTTGGCTGAGTCAAGAACCTTCAGAATGTCCTGAATCTTCAGTGTTCTTGGAAGACACGCCTCAACTCGAAGTAAAAGAAGAGACACATGTGCTGTTGGAGAAAGGCCAAGAAGTTCCATCATTGTTCGACACCGGAAGTTACGAGAATTACCAGAAGGTTCTGAGGATCACTGCCTGGGTCATCAGGTTCGCTAACAACGCACAGAAGAGAAATGACAAAATACGAGGTGGATTAATTGCGGCAGAGTTGGACAAAGCAGAGCAGTATTGGATCAGGCAGATACAAAACGAAAGGTTTCAGACGGATATTATGCTCCGCGAGAAAAATACGACAGAGGTTAATGTAAGACTCGCAGAGTATCATCCTCTCTTTGGCGAAAACAAAATCCTGCGGGTCGGAGGACGACTGCAGAGGTTGACGGAAAGTCTCGATGTGAAACATCCAGTCCTGTTACCGAACGACCATGACTTTGTCAAGCTAATTGTGATGCACGCTCATTGTAAGGTTATGCACGGGGAAGTAACAAGCACAATGTGTTACCTACGAGAGAGGTACTGGATAATACGTGCTAGGCAGCTGACCAAGAAGGTAATAAAAAGTTGCCTCGTATGTTCACGGTTGAATGCGAGGCCAACTGCTGTTGAGCAAGCTCCGCTACCGACAGATCGAATCAAGAAGGCAAAGCCGTTCGAGGTAACCGGAGTCGACTTCGCAGGGCCGCTGTACGCAAAAAGAAACGACGGTAGCTGCAGCAAAGCGTACATCGTACTTTTCACATGCGCCTCCACGCGAGCAGTTCACCTCGAGCTCTCAACGGGCCTCACTGCTGAAGCTTTCTTGCTTGCATTCCGGCGTTTTATAGCAAGAAGAGGCATACCACTGGACATATATTCTGATAATGCACTAGCCTTCAAGAAAGCATCAAAAGACATCCAGAAGGCATTGGGTGCACTGGAGCAAGAAGTTTTCAAATCATACATTGCAGAACACAGAATCAACTGGAAGTTCATTGTGGAGGCCGCTCCATGGTGGGGCGGGTGGTGGGAGAGGCTCGTTCGATCTGTCAAGGCAGCACTTAAGAAAGTGTTGGGCAGAAGCAGCCTATGCTTCGAAGCACTGACGACTGTCCTCGCTGAGGTGGAAGCAATGGTAAACTTAAGACCACTGACATATCTCTACTCGGGAGTAGGAGACCCCTCAGTCATCACGCCAGCACATTTCTTAATAGGGCAAAGTTTGACAGTTCTACCAGAAACAAGCTTGTCTAACGACCGCCCAGGATGCGTGACACAGAAGGAAACAGCTCGCCAGTTCCAGTATCGAAAAATAATCATGGAACATTTTTGGAAACGCTGGCGGTCTGAGTACCTGTTGGAGTTGCGGTCAGCTCATCAATATCTCGTCACCAATACTTGCTCCCTGAAAGTGGACGACGTAGTCATAGTGGAAAATAACCGAGCATCCAAGCTGTTCTGGGAACTGGGGAGAATCGTAGAGACGTACCCCGGAACTGACGGAATTGTTCGTGCCTGTCTCGTGAAACAGCAAAACGGTACGCTCATAAAGAGACCCGCGCAGAAACTTTATTTGCTGGAAATTCGTCCAAGTCAACTTCAGGCTCGGGGAGGATGTTGCAACCGGGCGATGAGGAAGAAGAGAAGCGGCGGGAGCTCATGCATTTTGTAATTTTTATCAGTCTGAAAAACGAACAATAAAGGAAAATGTCGCACCGACCGATTTGTCTAGCGTAATTGCCTTCGTATTCCTTGGTTCCTCAACAAAAGTATTGATTCTGGCTGATTGTAGCAAAAACGTTTTCCTTCCCCAGCCTACGTCTGCAGCCAGTGCAAGGTGGATGACGCGAAGTAAAAAAAAAAACAACAACATGCTGTCAAAGGACTCGAAAGAATAGACTTGTAGTATTGGAACTAATAAACTTGAGTGAAATCCAATGGCACGATTTCAATCATCAGGAATAGTTATAAGTACACAAATGACGTATCACAACCATCTCAAATTTTTTTTTAATTATACAATGTGATCAAAAGGCAGCAGAAGAGGGTTAATGAATGGCATAATGTCAAAGGCAAACGTGCAATATGAATAGCCTCGAGTAACCAAGAAACGTGGTACAATATTCACTAAAGTAAATTGAAAAGCTAATGAAAAATAGTTACCATCTCATATCTTCCGTGTCACTTTTCCATTGAGCCAAGAAAACATCTGATGGTACAGTGCTCAACGAAACGAAATGGGCCAGCGGAACGCGTGGCCTCCAGAACTTGCTGCGCCATCTACCGATAAAAGACGGGCTGCCTGGTGACGCGAGTCGGAGGTGTGCAAAGCTGATACGAGCGCTCATCGGCTGTTCCCACGCTGTGCACAACTCTCGATGGGTAATCTCTGCAGAGTGATAGCCTTTTTTATTATTTAATCGCCCCGTGGTTTTATCGCGATCTGTTTGACGCCCTGTGCATACTTTTATCTTGTCTCAAATATGAAAGAAAAGGAACAAAAGGGCAATATTTTTTTCTTTTAATAAAAAGCACAGTGCCATTTCACTTCACATTTATTTTTCTATAAATTGTCGGTTCACTGCCATCAGTATCCATTCGTGAAGATGCCGTCGCGAGTGCCAATTCACGAACGCTGGCGAATTGTGGCCCTATGCCGCGCGGGAATGCCCCAACGAGAAGTCGCCCGGATGACAGGAAGGACCCGAACCGCAGTGGCCCGAATTTTCACGGCGTTTCGAGACGACAACGGCCGCATCCATGACGCTCCTCACGACGTCCGCCCAAGGTCCACTACCGATGAGGAAGATCGATGGATCGTCGCGGCTGCAGTCGACCAGCCTTTTATTACGGCCCGTGACATTCGAGGCGAACTTGGTCTGAATGTCAGTGACCAACTTGTGCGACGCCGTCTTGCAGAAGCGGGTATTAGGAGCTATGCTGCGTGCAAGAAGCCAATTTTAACTCCTCGACAAAAAGATATCCGCCTGCGGTTTGCCATGGAAAAGACATCATGGACGATTCAAGAGTGGAAAACCGTTGTTTTCAGCAACGAGTCCTCTTTCTCAACTGACTGGCACCAAGGAAAACAAGTTTGAAGACCGCGAGGTGCACGGTATGTTACTTTTGAGCAACACGACAATTTTTAACAAGCCGGATCTTATAATTTGTGATTTTGATGTTTCAGGTATGATGCCCCTTACTTGCAGCGTGTGGGCAGGAGTGGGCGACAAACCGTTAACGTCTGGGGGGCATTGTCAGCGGAAGGACTTGGTCCACTTGTAAGAATCCAGAGGCTTAACTCCGAAACGTATTGCGACGTCATTGAGCACGAGCTCATTCCTTACGTTCTTGAGGGACCTTTCCCTGACGGATGCTTTTTTTTTTCAACATGACCTTTGTCCTGTTCATCAGTCAAATCGTGTGCGTGACCTTCTAGAGGAACGCGGAGTGGCGGTTATGCCATGGCCCCCAAAAGGGGCTGACATGAACCCCATCGAGAACATCTGGGGAAACATGAAGATCCAGCTATCGCGGCGAGGACTTCACTCCGTCACGACTGACCAGCTATGGGATGCTGTGAAGGAAGAATGGGACAGGCTGCGGCAATGTCCAGAGTTGGTGGTGAATCTTTATGAATCCCTTCCGCGTCGCATGAATGCTATTTGTGAAGCCAATGGAGAGTTCTGCAAATATTAGAGTAAGGTGCTGATAATAAAACAAGCACGTTACTTATATTATTTTTTTTCTGGTAGGCGCAGCATTGTGTAACATGTCAAATAAACTATGTTGACACAGCACACGCTTTTTAATGACTGTCAGACGCTCGCTAAAATTGAATAAAACCACGAAAAAATAAAACTCTGCATTAATATATTATAGCTGCAAAAGGCCGGACGCGCTGGCTCATCAATCTTTTATGGAATAAAAAATGAAGCTTTATCTTTTCTTTTTTATATATTTGAAGCAAGATAAACTCATGCACATCATCACGACAGTGTCTCTGAGGAAAAATAAACGTGGTCACTCCGCAAAATCATGGCCTGCGCAGATTATCGGGGGTTGCGCGCCTGTGTGCGAACAGCCGCTGAGCGCTCGTATCAGTTTTGCGCATGCGCGACTCGCGTCACCAGGCAGCCCGTCTTTTATCGGTAGATGGCGCAGCAAGTTCTGGAGGCCACGCGTTCCGCTGGCCCATTTCGTTTCGTTGAGCACTGTACTTTTCTTTTGAAATGCTGTAAAAAAAGTCAACAGGGAATATTGAATGTCAACAGCTTTTCAACGAAAAGCATCACAGAATGTCTGTTGAGTTTCAATTAATAAGTGGGCCAATATTCAATAAAAAGCCAACCGACTTTTTACGCTTTTCTTTTGAAAAGCTGTTGACATTTAATATTCAACCGTGACTTTTCAAGAGATTTTCAATAGAAAAGCATCACAGAAAGTCTGCTGACTTTCAATAAAAAAGTGGGTCAATTTTCAATAGGATGTCAACAGACTTTCTCTGATGCTTTTCTGCAGAGAAGCTGTTGACATTTAATAGCAAGAGACAAGCTGTTGACATTCTATATCCTCTATTGACTTTTTCGGAAACTTTTCTATAGAAAGGTATAACAATTTTTGTAAAGGGGAGAGAGTAAACATTGCGTGCCCAGTATGAGAGTCACGTCAACATAATTCTTGTTGACACCAGAGTTGTTTTTAGTGTTTCAGCTCTTCAAGGCTGAACTTCACAGCTCGAAGAAAGACATTGGAAGCCAAGCTGATACCCTACAGCTTGAGAAAGAACAAGTGCTCGGGATTGTACGGGTTAAAAACAAACCGGCCCTTGTATCACTAACCTGTGTGCCATTTTAAGTTATTCTACAACATTTGCGACCTGTATGTGGAGTCTCGCATGTCGAACAAGAGGAAGGACTTCAGCATCAGTAACGCGGACGCAGTATTGCTAACGATGATGAAGCTCTATCACAATCTGAAATTTTCCCTTTTTGGTGTACTGTCTGGTGTCCAGGATGACAGCTTTTAAGATATTCAGAGCGTCAGTACCAGTCCTGGTAGCAGTGCTCAGGCACGCCGTTTTCTTGCCCGAAAAATAGGCTTTGCTCCAGTCCCTGACCAACTACTTTAAAAGGGCAACTCCCCCAAAACATAGATTCTATAAAAGGGGCCGATATCGCTTTAGGAGATCAAAATAAGGTCATACCCAAAATATCACGTGGAACCAACGTCGCATTCCCGATTAAAACCAATATTAAAAATGTTGTACCAGCCGAGTTAGCAGCCCGACAGCGGGTGAGCAACGCTGGCAGCAGGTCAGCTAGTGAAGCATCGCAGGGCAATGATGTAGGTTTCGTCCTACGCTCTCGTACGAACGCCGCAGACGCTTAGTTTCCTGTGGCACTCTGCGGTTCTGCTTACGGCGAGAGGTGCTTACAGCGAGTCGAGAACTGAGCTAGTTGGTCGTTGTGAAAAAGAAAAAACACAGCGCCGGAGACACCTTGCCTCTCAACCAAAAATAGAAAAATGAAAGCATGGACTAAAACAGCCTGAACTTAAGAAAAAACATAGAAAGAAAACAGGAGATGAGATGAGACGGCTGACTATCAACGAGCTCTAGTGAAAACTTCTTCCTCAAGTTGTTTTTATCCAAGTATGTACCAACCGCGTGATGATGATTGGGGTTCAATGGCGCAAGAGCGACTGTGGCCATATTGCGCCAAGAAAGTTAACTTAAAAAGCCTAGCATGCAGTTACATCTAAACTTACTTGTCTACCTATATCAGGTGCAAAAAGCAAATTGCATGTAGGAAACTTAAAACGCGAGCAAATGGTACCAAAGGTCTATCACCAAGCAAAAAATAAGGATGAAATGGAAGGTGGTTTCTGAAAAGTTAAGGAAACTATCTTCGGCGTTGATGATCAAGAAATCTACAATTCCAAAGGATGTGAAGGGCAGTTAACACTTTCTCACACTTTTCGCAGAGCTTGACATCTTCACCGTAGAGCAAGTGCAGGTGTGTCAATCGAGAATGACCAATTCTCAAGCGGCACAAAAGGACTTCCGAACGGCGGTCCTTATGGGAGGAACTCTCCCTTACTTCTAAGTTGGGCTTAATAATGTGGAGTTAGTTATCGATCTGTGTGTCCCAATCCAGCTGCCATAACTTAATAATTGACTTGTTTAAAGGGTAACTCCGGTCCATACTTTCCATTTTGGGATTATGACTGTTTTTAGTCCAGTCAGCGTCCCTTAATTACAAGGTGTAATTTTTTCATGTTACTGTGGGTAGTTTTAAAGATATTGAAACCTCAAAGTTTTGTTTGAGGCGAGGCCAACAAAACCGAAACTAGCCGCTCGAGGCTCCGGCAACACTGGAAGTCAGCCACTATGTGAATGTGACGTCAGGATCGTTCTCGTTCAACGAGTACGCAGGCCGAGCGGCACCTACCCCTGTTGCGCTAGCCGTCTAAAGATAGGAGGTAAGCTGATTTTGTTTTAATCCTGTATAGTGTAGTTATCCAGCATATGTAGCAAGAGTTAGTGCGTACACCCAAAGGCTATCGACTGGAAAACGAGTGAACTCGTTCGGTGCCGTACTCGCCGGCTGTCGCCGTGTGTGCGGTCTTCCGTACTCGTCGCTAGGCCTAAATTGTCATCGGGGTTGATTGATTGATTGATTGAGTTTTATTGGCGCAAAAGCATCTAAGGCTATAGAGCGCCAAAGTCCGTGACTATTTCATAAATGGTTTCTAGAGAGGAAAGAGGGCTCTAGTGGCCAGTGATAGAATAAAAGGATGTGCATGAATCTGTATATAAATAATGTGGATGAAAAATTTAAAATTGCAAAGCAA